CCAGGAGCGCGCGGTCCCCGCGCCGCGGAGCCTGAGCCCATCCCCGCGGTGGGCGGGGAGAGCCGAGCCCAGGACTCGCAGGCAGGCGGGGTTCCTGGTACCCCCAGGTCTGCAGAGGGATGACCCGAGCACTCTGGCTGCGCCAGGTCGCCTCCCAGCTCTAGCAGCCTCCACCCCCCGCATGCCCCTCCCCACCCACACGGGGCGCAGGAGGATCTCAGAGGAGGAGGCTGTGGCCCGCCTTCACCCAGGGCTGCTCCCCATTGTGGGGCTGCCTACCCGCTACCAGGGGGAGCCCGCTGGGAGGTATTGGGCAGATCGCTTGACATATATGCACACATATATAATACTACACACACGTACATATCTATTGTATATAATATGCCATAGCCTATATAATACTTACTTCAAACCTTTGAACAGACGGCTACCTCCCCCTCACAATCCTTCCGAGCAGAAACCATCCTGCCCCCGACAGCTCCAGGTGCTAAGGATGAAGACCCCGAGGTGTTGGCGCTCCCAGTCTACCCAAGAGTGGGAACAGACTGGGGAATCCCCTGGCCAGGTTGGGTGGAGTCACTGCAGGTAGAGGGGTGGGGCAGGGCACCGCTGCTGTGTATTCCACCCACCCCCAGCCAGAACTAAGAAGGGTCTCTACCTGACATGTCACAGTTTGATATCGTGGATTCAACAAACATTTATACTGAGCACCTACGAGGTGTCAGGCACTGTTTTGCCCAATCTGGACACTACAGTAACCAAAACAAAGATCCAACTTCATTGAATTTACAGTCTATCGGAAGGAGACATACAATAATAAGCATAATAAACGTTTAAAGTAGTCATAAGTGATAATTGCTATAGAAAAAAAAGGAAATGGAGAGGAATGTAAAGGGAATCTAGGGTAGAACGGGGTCTTTTCCCCCCCACAGAAGCAGGAAAATATTACCTCCCATGTTTAAGGTTCCTGCTGTATTCCAGGAACTTTATTATACTCTTCCTACCAATACAATAATGCTAAGAGGTAGGTGTTAAACTGGGGCTCAGAGAGGCCAAGGGCCTCACTCAAGGTCACCAGCAGCTAGTGATCAAGTGGAACTGAAACTCGGGTCTGCCCAGTGATGTCCAAGGCAGAGAATCTTCAAGACCCTGCACACCCCCATGCTCCCCCCAAACCACCATTTGGCACCCAGAATCCCAGCCCTGCCTGCAGATGGGTCTATGCAGCAGGAGGAGGACTGTTCTCCCTCCCAACGCCACCTGCACCACTGTGACAATTTCTGTCGTGCCTCAAGGAACAGGATACCAAGCACTGGGCAGAGAACCAGAAAGACCAGACTTGGGAACCCAGCTCCACTGCTAACCAGCTCTGTGGACTTAGGGTTGGCGACTCCATCTCCTTGGGCCACGGTTTTCTCCTCTGCAATAACTAGCAGAACAATACAGCACCCACTTACAGGGTTGTTGGTGTCACCTGTAAATTTTACAGTGCTGTGTCAATGCTGGCTATTGGCCTCAATGTTCCCATCTGTGCAACGGGAATGCACTCAGCTCTTCAGTAACTCCTTCAGCCCAGGGATTTTTGATGTGAGCAACAGCAAAACTGAGAAGTGCTGTGTGGAACACACTTTGGAGCCCAGTGACCTGGGTTTATAATCCTGATTCTGCTACTTGCTCTGTGACCTTGGCAAAGCCTCTTCATTTCTCTGCTGCTATGAAACTGGGGTAGTGGAGATATACATGGGATGAGTATTTAAACCATTCTGCGCAGAGGAGGTGGCTGATAAATTTTAGCTTTGTGAAGATTAAAAGTATATAATCTTTTAATTATATATATATAATTATATATATATAGTATATAGTATATATATATATATATATATATATATATATATAGTGAAATAGAATATTAGTCCCACTGCTTTAGCTCTTTCAGTTTGATTCCTTTATTTAAAACACAAAAAACTAGGGGGAGGGAGAGGGATGGATTGGGAGTTTGGGGTTGGTAGATGCAAACTATTACATTTAGAATGGATAAACAACAAGGCCCTAATGTATAGCACAGGGAACTATATTCAATATCCTGTGATAAACCATGATGGAAAAGAATATAAAAAAAGAATGTCTATATGTGTATAACTGAATCACTTTGCTGTACAGCAGAGATTGGCACAGCATTGTAAATCAACTACACCTCAATAATAAAATAGAATAGAATAATTTTTTTAAATCTAGGGAATTCCCTGGCAGTCCAGTGGTTAGGACTCAGCACTTTCACTCCTGGGGCTGGGTTCGATCCCTGGACGGGGATCCAAGATCCCAGCAAGCCTCACATCGTGGCCGAAAAAAAAACTAAAGAAAACGTGACCAAAAATGTTAGCATTTGTTCATTCTTTTTGATAGATTAACAAATGCTTGTTATATTATGAGCTGTACTTTGCTATAATCAACACCAAACACTCCCATTTACCATTGCAACTAAAAGAGTAAAATACCTAGGAATAAACCTACCTAGGGAGACAAAAGACCTGTATGCAGAAAACTATAAGACACTGATGAAAGAAATTAAAGATGATACAGACAGGTGGAGAGATATACCACGTTCTTGGATTGGAAGAATCAATATTGTGAAAATGACTCTACTACCCAAAGCAATCTACAGATTCAATGCAACCCCTATCAAATTACCAATGGCATTTTTTACAGAACTAGAACAAAAAATCTTTAAATCTGTATGGAGACACAAAAGACCCCAAATAGCCAAAGCATTCTTGAGGGAAAAAAAGAGCTGGAGGAATCAGGCTCCCGGACTTCAGACTATACTACAAAGCTATAGTAATTAAGACAATATGGTATTGGCACAAAAACAGAAATATAGACCAATGGAACAGGATAGAAAGCCCAGAGATAAACCCATGCACCTATGGTCACCTAACCTTTGACAAAGGAGGCAAGGATATCCAATGGAGAAAAGACAGTCTCTTCAATAAGTGGTGCTGGGAGAACTGGACAGCTACATGTAAAATAATGAAATTAGAACACTCCCTAACACCATACAAAAAAATAAACTCAAAATAGATTAGAGACCTAAATGTAAGACCAGACACTATAAAACTCTTAGAGGAAAATATAGGAAGAACACTCTTTGACATAAATCACAGCAAGATCTTTTTTGATCCACCTCTTAGAGTAACGGAAATAAAAACAAACATAAACAAATGGGACCTAATGAAACTTAAAAGCTTTTGCACAGCAAAGGAAACTACAAACAAGACGAAAAGACAACCCTCAGAATGGGAGAAAATGTTTGCAAACGAATCGACAGACAAAGGATTACGCTCCAAAATATATAAACAGCTCATGCAGCTCAATATTAAAAAAACAAACAGCCCAGTCCAAAATTGGGCACAACACCTAAATAGACACTTCTCCAAAGAAGACATACAGATGGCCAAGAAGCACACGAAAGGCTGTTCAACATCGCTAATTATTAGAGAAATGCAAATCAAAACTAAAATGAGGTATCACCTCACACTGGTTAGAATGGGCATCAACAGAAAATCTACAAGCAACAAATGCTGGAGAGGGTGTTGGAGAAAAGGGAACCCTCTTACACTGTTGGTGGGAATGTAAATTAATACAGCCACTATGGGGAACAGTATGGAGGTTCCTTAAAAAACCAAAAATAGAATTACCATATGACCCAGCAATCCCACTCCTGGGCATATACCTAGAAAAAAACATAATTCAAAAAGACACGTGCACCCCAATGTTCATTGCAGCACTATTTACAATAGCCAGGACATGGAAGCAACCTAAATGCCCATCGACAGATGAATGGATAAAGAAGATGTGGTATATATATACAATGGAATATTACTCAACCATAAAAAGGAATGAAATTGGGTCATTTGTAGAGGCGTGGATGGATCTAGAGACTGTCATACAGAGTGAAGTTAAGTCAGAAAGAGAAAAACAGATATCATATGTTAACGCATATATGTGGAACCTAGAAAAATGGTACAGATGAACCGGTTTGCAGGGCAGAAATAGAGACACAGATGTAGAGAACAAACGTACGGACACCAAGGAGGGGAAAGTGGTGGGGGGGCGTTGGGGGGAGGTGGTGTGATGAATTTGGAGATTGGGATTGACATGTATACACTAATATGTATAAAATGGATAACTAATAAGAACCTGCTGTATAAAATAATAAATAAAATAAAATTCAAAAAAATAATTTTTCAAGACTGGGCCTGGGTGGTGGTGCCACCTTGTGGCCACAGTTATTATCTTGAATTTAAGAACTTCAGAAGTTCTGCGTACGCACCTGAATTTGTCATTTCAGTCATGGAATAATACAGTCTTGAATGTCCTTAACATTTCAGGGTAGAAAGGGACCTCCAAAGATGCTCAGTGTTTTCTTTATTACCTCTAGCCACAGGGTGCTCCCTCCCTAGAGGAGAAGGCTTGTGCCACAATGGGACAGCTGAGTCTTAGGAAGTCCTCTGTCCCAGATCTCCATGCCTGTCAGTACATAGGGGACCGAGGAGAGCTGCTCATGACAGAGATGGAGAAACCAAGGTCCAGGGAGGTTGTGAGGTCTGCTCAGAGCTGCTCTCGCAGGAGGCATTAACCAACTGGTTAACTGAGGGCAGGGATTTGTCTGCTTTGTTCACTATTGTATCCTCAGCACATATTAGGTTGCCATAAATATATGTTCAATGAATTAATGAAGAAAACTATCACCCCAACCACCAGCAGTTGCGGGCCAATCATTTACTCTCAATAATTATTATTATAATGGCTGACATTCATTGAGGTTCTATTATATGCCAGGCACTGTTCTAAGCTCTATATGTACATTGATTCATTCCCACGACCCTGGGAATGAGGCGGTGCGATCGTTATTCCCCAACTTAATAATGGGAAAACTGAGCCTCAGAGATCTTAAGTGACCTGCTTAAGTAGCCCTGCCAGGATTTGAACCCAGGCAGACAGGATTTTCCCAGAGGCTCCGAGCATGGGAGGAAAACTAGATGGGAGTTATTGGCTCTATATAGGCAAACAAGGAGCGGAAGCCGGTACTAATTACCCGCCCATCCGGAGAGGGGCCAGCGTGGACAGTGCTGCATCAGTGTTTATCCCTTGTAAAGATTTTCAATCCCTCCACCCTTGCGGGGATTGGGGAGAATGGTGGAGGGGGACCTTCAATTCTTCTTCTGAGCTGTCTTGGTGGTTCAGTTTGAGATTGGAGTTGAGAAAAATTGGCCATCACTAATCCACATCTCACTCCCGTTGGCAAACTGGCACAACTAGAGATGCTTCCCTGTTCTCGCAGATCTGGCTCTTTCCACTCGCTGCTCCCACATCCAATCAGCAGTGCCTCTCCTGTGTGGCCCCGCCTCTTTACCATGGCCCTGCCTCCCTAGGCCTCCCTCGCCCCCACCCAGTTCTGGTCTCCATCACCTCCTGCTTGGACTACTGCAGTCTCCAGCCTCCCCCTCCTCCTCCCCCCACAAGACTCCTTTTCGTCTCGCTGGAACCCAGTTCTGTGCAGACACCTCCAGGGCTCTTACTGCGATGTGAGTGAAGTCTGAACTCTGGCTAGCACTCCACGCCTGCCACCAGCTGTGCCAACCCACCTGCCTCCCTCCTTTTCAACCAGCTCTTATTAATTTCTTTACACCCCATTTCTTTATACCCCATCTTGTTCCATACACAGGAAGAAGGCAGCTCCTAACCAAGACTCATCCTGCCAAGTTGATGCTCAGGTCTCAGAGGCCTAGTACCAAGGACACCACCCCAGGAAGTCCTTCATTTGGACCTTATCTCTGAGTACTTTCTCTGTGCCCTCCAGTCAGTCCCCACCTCCAGCTGTATAGAAGGACTGTTAATATGGCCAGGGCTTATCCTTGCCTGACTGAGAGGTCACTGAGGTCTGCGTGCAGGAGAGATATACTTTTCTCCAACCCAATTCCACATCAAAGGACACAGGACCACCCTGGATAGCTGTGTCCTGCACGACCGCAAGAATCGCCATTCTGTAGTTGGGAAGTACACAACCTACACAACAGTACAGAGCCGCCATGAAGGGAAGGCTTGGTACCCGGAGGAAATCGTGTGTGTAGTACACAACTGTTATCATCAGAGGGCGCTAGACTGGAATCCGCACGCGCCGCTGCCTCCCAGCCTGGGGGAGTCACTCCCAGGGCATAAAGGCCTCAGTTCACCTTTGCAAAATGAAGATGCTCCGTGGATTAGAAACAATATATATAAATTGCCTGGTATTGGCGGTCACAGCAATGTGTGCAAGGAAGAAAGAGTCATAGCTCTCACCCATCCCACCTGCCCCGTCTCAATGGAGAATCTGGGGGGCCCCGAGTTCAGCTGCATGCAGGTGATGATCTCAAACCCATAGGGTCATCGTGAAGGGGAAGGGACTCCAGAGTTGTCAAGCACCCACCCCCGCACATAGTAGGTGGTCAGCAAATGGCAGTTACTAAGGTTATAGCGAGAAGACTGATTCAGCCAGACTGCCTGGGTTCAAGTCCTACTGGAGACCTTTCTCAACCCGGTTGGGCAAATTACTTCATCCCGCTGTACCTCAGACGCCTCCTCTGTAAAACAAGGGCAGTATTTGCATCGCAGGATGGTGGTGAGGATTCAGCGAGTTAATTGATATAAAGTACTTAGTACAGCACCCCACCTCCTATATCAATTTGTAACCATTAGTTTTTGTCCGTTTCCCCTTCTCCAAAAGCCAAGCCAGCTGGAGTGCAGGGAAGGGCTGATGCAGGGTCACCGTGAGGGTGAAGAGGTGTCATGGGCCTAAGGGATCAAAGGTCAAAGACAGAAAAGGGGTTCTGGAGGCCCAACCAACGTATATGTGAGGACAGAAACAGACAGCCAAGGACGGAGGCAGGAGGTGGGGAGCCAGAAGCCGGCGGGGGGCAAATCATGGCGGGAAGGCGAGGGCCACCAGGATGCGGGGAGGGGTGCTCAGGGCTCCATGTGCGTGCAGCCTGACTCCCGCCCCTTGGGGACCCTGAGTCAGTAGGGCTGCCCTGTGAGGAAGAGAACACAGGTGTTGAACGAATTTATTCATGAGAAAACTCGGGGTCCATCCTACTGGTTACAAGCTCCAGAAGCTCTTGTCGGAATAGCCGTGAGGGCCGGGGCACCCCCAGGCAGGGGGCTGGTGGGGCTGGCAGCAGCCCTGGGACAGAAGAGCAGACGCAGGCAGCTGTGGGTACTGAGGGGCGTTCTTCCCTGCCCGCCTGCCCAGCCCCCCACCCCGGGGCCCCGCACCCCCTCTAGGGCTAAAGTGCGGCTGCGAGGAGTGGGGGGAGGGGACTAGGCAGCTGCAGAGCCACAGTGAACACAGCCGCCCCCCCGCGCCCTCACCCCTCCTCTTCCTCGTTCCTTGAGGCTCATCCAGAACCCATCCCACCCAGGTCCCTCCTGGGAACCTCTGGGTAAGGGAGACCCCTCCCCAGCATCCGATATTCAGAGAGAGCTTCCCAAGAGGGTGACGCTGGCTCCATCAGCTTTGAGGGGCCTAGAACCTGGGGGGCAGGGAGAGGCACTAAAATCTGGGAGAGGGCGAGGAGGGAAGGATGCCCTCTGGTCGAGGGCGTCATCCCCTCCCCCTGGCCCAGCAAGGCTCCTCCTCCCCTGCCTTCCTCCCCACCCCCCGGAAAGCCAAGGCAGGCAGGGAGCCTGGCTCCCAGCTCCACAGCCGGGAGGCAGCAGGGTCCTGCCCAGGCCTGACTCCCAACCATGCCATTGAGGGAGGGCCACCGGGGAGAAGCTGCCCTGGGGACGGGGGTGCAAGGCCTCTGGGGAAGCCGGTGGGGCTGCAGCATCCTGCTTCTGCCAGTGGTCTTCCTAGCCCTGCCTCAGGGCTGCCACTGGCAAGGCGCCCAACCTCAGCTCAGGGCCCAGCGCCACCATCTGCACCCCCTGGGCCCTGCCCCACCGAGGGGCCGTGCGGGCCTTGGCGCGTCTTGGACGGCCTCACCCCAACTCAGCAGCTTAGCCAACTATCCCCCTCCCCAGGGCACATGTCTAGGAGGCAGAAGAGAAGAGAACCCCCCTCCGATAAAGAACCCTGAAGACCTCTGCTTCCTCCCCCCAACTTGTGAATATATTAAATTGTGCAGCTTGGCGCCAGTCCCACCCCCTTCAGATCTCCGTGGCAACCGGGAAGCATTCCAAGTCCAAGTCTGAATCCAAGTCCATCCAGTGCCAAAGGGGGGCTTCAGCCTCTCTCCCAACTCTTCCCCGGGAGGGTGAGACCCCACATTCCACGGGGAACGAGAGGGGAGGAAGAGTCGGGGGCCTCAGTCCTCAGCCCCCTCATCCTCTGCATGGGGGGCCCCAGGGGGATCCTCGGCCTCGGGGGTCTGCCCGCCAGGGTGCGGGTGGGAGTGGAGGCCGGGCTGGGAGCCCTGCGCGTCCTCGCCCTGCACGTAGACGCTCAGCCCCTCGTGACTGGGCTCCTTGCCGCAGGCCTGGCAGCTGCAGTGCAGGATCTTTTCCACCAGCTTGTCCACCCTGGGCACCTCCTCATGGCCAGGGCATTCCAAGGTCACCTGCGGAGGGCAGGAGAGAAGGGGAGAGAGGTTTCCAAGGGCCTGGGGCAGGCAGGAAGGCCCCAAGGGTAACACTCCTCATGGGACCAAGAATCCCAGAGACCCCGGAAGCCTGAGGCCACCTGGGACACCTGGGCCCGTCCAGGGGGAGGGGGGTGAGTCCCTGCAGGAGCCACCTGACCTGTCTCCTCACGTCCTGCCACTTTCCTGCCCATCCCCACAGTAGCCAGAGGGCACCTTGAGGGGACCCAAGTGGTCCACCCCTGCCTGAAATTCCACCCCCGCCCCAGGGCTCCCACTGCTCTCGCAGAAAAACCGACTCCTGACTCAGGCCACCCAGGACCTTGAGGTTGACCCCCGGAGGACCTCTCTCTCCACCCTTGACCTTGCCCCACTCCCACCAACTCTGCCCTGCCTGATCTGCCTGAGACTTTGCACATGCCATTCCCTCTGCCTAGGGGGTCCTTGCCCCACCCGTCCCCTCCCCACTGCCCTAGACTTTGCCCACTTAACTTCTACTCAACATTTGGACCCAGAGCCCAGACATCACTTCCTCAGCGATCCCAACACCCCCCGACCCCGCCCTGCCAAGGCTCGCCCTGTACGAGCCCCAGCCCCGTTAGCGTTCACTCTCCCCCTGTTGGCACGCCACTAGCTGCCCTTTCTTTTTCCTTTCCTTCCTCCTTGTCTCTCCCTCCCTCCTTCCACAGAGCACCTTCTCCATGCCAGCTCTGGGGACACAAGGACAGGCATCGTCCTTCAAGGAACTCAGAGTCTAGCAGAGGAAACAGACTTGTCAAAATCACCCCCAATGCAGATGAAAAACTGTGTGTGTGACAGATGCTCAAAGCAGAGGTACACAGTGCCTGGGGGATCAGGAAAGGGGTCCTGAGAAAATGATGCCTGAGCCAAGCGCAGAGGAATGACTAGAATTTAACTAGGTGGGGGAGGAGGAGAAAGGTATGCCAAACAGGGCAAAGAGCATGTGCAAAGGCCCCGCGGTGGTCGTAAGCGGACTAGATAAGAGAGACTGAGAGGAGGCGGTATTGGTGTCAAGGTCACGCTAGTGAAGAAGGTGAGAGGGGCAAAGATGAAGCTAGAAGCCTGGTGAGCCAGGCCACGCCTTGTGGGCAGGCCTTACGGGGGGCCTAGCAGAGATTCTGGTCTCATCCTATAACAATGGGAAGCCACCGAGAGGATTTCAGCATGTGACTGACATCAGAACAGAGCTTCAGAAAGAGCTCTTGTCCTGTACGTGCTGCTGTTGGACTTGTGAGCCATCACGTGGCAAGGACTGTGTATCTCCAGCACGAGGCTTGAAGCCTGCACACAGTGGGGCCTCACTAAGCACTTGTGGCCAAGGCCAGTGGCGGCTCTGGGCGGAAGCTGGGCGGGGGCGGGCAGCCGTACTCACGATCTCCCACATGGACTGGGCCGGCATGCACGAGTCGCAGTGCACCAGGGACTCTGTAGACTGCGGGAAGGTATTGGGAACGCTGTAGCTGAAGCACTGTCCCAGGCACGCCCTGCGGGGGGAGAGCCCACCGCGTCCGTGTCACCACGGCGGAGGCGAGAATGGGCAGCCCTGTCCTCTCCCTCCCTCCTGGGCCCGTGTCCTCATCCCTTTCACCCACCACCCCGGGATCCCACCTGTTCTGGATGGACTTGGCCTCACAGCCGCTGTGGCCCACGATCTGGGTGATGTTCTTGGCCTCGCACCAGGCGCTCTTATCCGGGAACAGTGCCAGCTTGTTGATGGGCGGTGGAGCAGTCAGCAGCATGGCGGGGAGGACAGCCCCCACCAGGACCCGAAGCATCGTGCCCGTGACCTTTGGAGCCCTTGAACTGAGTACAGACTGCAGGTGAGGCCAGCAGGGTCCAGGAGGCTGGGCAGAGGGCAGGGGGGCAGTGGTGTTACAGCGTGGGCTCTGACACCTGACTGCCTGGGTTTAAATCCTACCTCTGCCACTTACTAGCCAAGCACAATCTTGGACAAGTTATTTCTCCTGTATGAACCTCAAAACTGGGGCTGCTAATAGTACGAGCATCAGATGGGTATCATGGAGATTAAGCAAGGTGTTTCATGAAAAGCCCTGAGCGGAGAGACTAGCAGATCATACACATCCCACATGTGTTAGTTATCTTTATAACTTACTTTGTAGCTTTGAGCAAGTTACTTTTTATCTCTGTGCCTCACTCGCTTCATCTAGAGGGGGATGGTGATTCTGTGTGTGGCAATGACTATTGCAAGTACTAAGCCAGACACTCTCAGTTTCCAAGCACCTTGTTGAGTACTGAACAATCATTAGCTCCCTCCTCACTGTGACGTTGTGGGTCCTTGAGGGGCTGGCCAGCCAGCAGGTCTCCTGGACATGCTGCCACGGTTGTCAGCAAAGCTAACCATCTTCATGTCACTGTGAATTCTTGCGCCACCTTGGATGCGTGGACCTCAGGTGAAAAAACGAACCCCAAACTAGACTGTACTTCTCGTTTGGATGCCCCATCAGAGCCCCAAGCCCCGAGTCTACACACACATCACTATCTCCAGCGCCAACCTCACACCTGAGTCAAACAAGAGGCGAGGCAATCCAAGCCAAGGGCTTGACCCTCTGTGAATTGGATGGAGCGAGGCACTAATAAGGCAATACCAGAATCTGCCAGGAGATGGCGGTGCAGGGCAGAGTGTGTGTCGCAAGCATTGACTCAAAGGGGATTTTCCCAATGTTCCCCAACTTCATCTTCTGTAGGTTTTGCCCACTCTCCCTCTGCAAGAATTGTGGAGGAGGGGGAGGCTTCAGAGAGATTCGGGAATGAGGGCAATGCTCACAAAGGAGTCCTCTGGGGGCAGGACATTGGGGAAAAGGCACTGGACTGGGAGTCTGGAACCCACACATGCTGTGGGACCCTGGACACTGTGACCTGTGTCCCCACCTGTGAAATGAGTGGGGTGCCCTGGACTGGTGGTTTCCAAACCTGGCAGAGCGTCAGAATTCCCGGAGGACTAGTGAAGTGAAAGCTCTAGGGTGGGGTGGGATTCTGCATTTTGTTAACGAGCTTCCAGGGTGGTTCTGATATGCAGGCCAGGCTTAAGAAGTGGTCCAGCTCGGTCAGACTCGGATTCTGTGTCTTGGGACAGTCCCCAGAGGGGCCTGGGTGGGGCCGAAGTGGGAGCAAGGGCCAAGTATGGTCCCACTGGTCCCACAGATGCCCAGTACTAGTCAGGCTGGCTCAGGGCTGGAAATCCCATTCCGAACAACGCTACCCTCAGCCCACCTTCTGCTGAAGTGGCAGGTATTTGGTAAAAAAGTCGGGAAGTGAGAGGTGTTGGGGGGTCTTGCCCGCTCCTGCAGGCTAACTACGTGGGCTGACTCAGCTGGGCTTGCAAGGAGGGCCCAGGCTAGCCTGCGGAGCTGTGAGCGCCTCTGCAGCGCCCCGCTCTCTCTATCCAGCAAGCTCTGCTCAGGTCCTGCCCCTTCTCCCTGCAGGAGGTCTCCGGAAGCAGAGACAAGTCCCACCTCACTGGATCTCAATGCCTGGGTGACCCCCGCTCCCAGCCCAGTGGGGAGGGGTGAAGCGGGGAGAGCAGTGGGAGGTGAGTCCAGACCGTCTGCCCCATCCCAAGGGAGTCTGTGTCATGACCCAGGCTCTCACCCACACATTTCCGGTCTCACTCACAAGGTGGACAGCAAAGCCCATGTTTTCAGTACAGCCACAACCTAAGAAAACAGAATGGACTTGTTCCTAACCAGCAACCTAATTTTTCAACACCCTTAGCATCCAGGAGGCTTTCTCACCCCACCAGGTCCTTTTCTGTCCCTGGGGAATTAGCCTCTGCACCAGGGTCCGACCACCGTAGCACACCAGCGGAGACCCACCTAAGGCCAGAGCTCCCTGGGCCTCCCCAGGCGAGACTGGCCCCTAGAGACCTCAGAGAGGTCTGGGGACTTTTGTCCTATGCCTGACCCCATCAGGATTCCTCAGGAAGGCCAGGTCAGGTGGGGCAGAGGCTGATGTTAGGTTTCCTTAGGCTCGGGAACGGAGCCTTAGGTTGTAACGAAAGCAGGCTGGAGATGAGCGCTGCGGCTGGTTTGGGGTTTGGATTAGGAGAGGTTAGGACTGACGCTATGGGCCAGGCTAAGGGGGAGCGATGTTGAGATGGGGGCTGAGGTTAATAACAAGGTGTAGTGGGAGATGGGACACCGGTGAGTGTTTCAGGGGAGTCACTGGTCTGGAGGGTGAGGACTGGTTATCATGCATCAGGTTGTAGCAGACGCCGAGGGGAAATGAGATAAACTGAGGCAGAAGGCCACCTCCCTTATCTAACCCCCCCTCTAGGGCACAGCTAAAGGTCAGCTGGGCCCACAGAGGGGGTGCTATAACCCAACCCACCAGGCCCGGCCTCTCACAAAGCCCTGGCTGGGACCTCAGAGGAGGGGCCAGGCCGCGCTCAGCCTCCCCAGGCCAGCAGCCCTGAGCCCCAGCCGAAGCACGGCCCCGGGAGCCTCCTAAGTTCAAGTCCCAGGCCTCCCACCTAGGAGCTGCGTGACTTCCGGAAGTACAGGCTGCCTCTCTGCACCCACCGACCTCAGCCCGAAAACGGGGAGCAGAGCCCTTTCCTTGAAAATGCCTGGGAGGATGCGATGAAAGCACCCAGCACCCAGCAGGGACCCACCTCAGGCCAGTTCCCTTCCCCCGGGGGGGATGGTGGGGAGGCCTGGGCTGGCATCAGAGCCAAAGCTGGACGCTGGAGCAGGGAGCCGGGGGGGACGCGGGGCCGGTCTCACACACACACACCCCTGCCCAGCCCCCAAGAACCCCTGCTGCCCCTTCACACTGGACTGGGCTCTTTGCTAGTAGGTTTTATTTTTTGTTGGCTTGCGTTTTGTTTATTCAGGCAGCAGCTCAGCTGATTTTTTTTTCTTTTTTTTTTGATCCAGCAGTCGGACCTTCCTTCCTGAGACTTGAGAGCCTCACCCAGATTCTCATCCCTTCCTCCCGCCCTGAAGGTCACACGACAAGTCACGGGAGTCCCAGAACGCCAGGGCGGGAAGGGGATCCCCCAAGCCGATCCTCTTGCTTTGCAGAGGGGTTGTGCTGAGGCCCCCAGCAAGTCAGGCCAAGCAGTGCCCTTCCCCAGGCCAGGCGGTTCCCTGCAGTTTGACACTGGTTTACCAGGCACCTTCTAGGAGGGCGGAGAGGGCGGCGAGGGCGGCAAGGGTGGGGGCCTGGGGAGCTCAGAGCCTGGAGGGGAGGTTGAGGGAGGTGGGTGAAGAGGAAGCAGCTGTTCAGTGTGGGGCAGTCAGACAGCTGGAGGGGCCGGGGGAGGAGAGATTCTCAATTCTGGATTGAACTCAGGAGTACAGTTAGTTACCCGTGGTTGAGGGAACTGCACGGGCAAGGCCAGAAAGGGGGTTTACGGGTATCAGCCCAGCACAGCCCTCCCAGCCTCCTAGTAGTAAGAGCTGCTGCTAAGTGGGCCAGACACCATTCTAAGGCTTTTATGTATATTCACCTATTTGGTCCTCATAAAAACCCTAGGAGACAGATATGGTATTTCCCCCATTTTACAGATGAAGAAACCGAGGCACTGGGTTTGCAAAAGAGATTTGCCCAAGCTGACACAGTTAGCATTCACTAAAGCTGAGATTTGAACTGGACAGCAGCAGGGTAACCACCAAGAGTTTCACAGAAGAGGAAGACAGGGTGACGGGGAATGACCTGGAGCAAGCAAGAGGCCGGGGCTTCCCCCCCCAGCAGCTGCGTCTCTTACCCGTCAGCACTCCGGGGCTCAGCCACAGCCAGGGTTGGAAGCATGGGCGCCCCATGGGGCAGAGTTCAAATCCCAGCCTGGACTCCCCTGCAGAGGAGCATGCGGCCGTGGCCAACCCCTGGCTCCCTGGAGCCTTGCGGAAGGTACGGCGCCGCCCTTCCTCCGAGTTGTGGGGAGGCCACAACCAGGGCACCCTCAGCCCAAGGTGGGTACCTTCCTATCACCCCACCGTCCACTCCCCAATCCAAGCCCTCCGGATGCTCAGAGGCCTTGTGCCGACACCTGACACATCTGAGGCTGCCAGCAACACAGAGAGAAGGCCCCTGGGGGAGGGGAGGGGACACAGCTGACCCACTCCAGCCCCGTGGAAACTGAGGCACAGAACAAGGAAGTGACGGCACATGTCTCCCACGCAGGGGATGAGGGCAGTGAGCAGACACAGGACACCTGCCCCGGCAGCTTCCTGGGGAAGGACGGGGGTGGGGCAGCAAGAACGCAGGCTTCAGGGTCGGGCCCGTGGGGTCCTCTCTATGTTTCACGCCTACCAGAACCTAGCATCTTCCCTGAGATGCTTGCCAACAACTCAGAAGCCCGGGCCCCAGCCCTAGATATCCCGACCCCACACTCTGGGTTGTGGGGTGCAACCCAGGCAGCTCTATTCACTCCCACATGATTCTGAGGACCAGCCAGGTCAAGGGCCCCCCAACTCCCCAGGGAAGGGTCCCCCGTAACAGCAATGCAGACAGGGGTCACCCACCCCACTGCCTAGGCCTAGTGCCTGGAATCAAACCTGAAATTCACCAGAGGGGCCTCGATTTCAAGGAAGACCTCTGGCCCGTCCGCACCCACCGTAGAGCACCCATTGCACAACAAGGAGTCGATTTAGTAAAACAAGTGAATAATCACCCTCCCCGTTTCTTCTTTGGGATAAATCTGAATATTCAGGGTCCTTAAGGCCAGGTACACCAGAATGTTCTTGGTACAATGGTCCACTCACCCCCAAACACACACACACACACACACACACACACGCACGCACGCACGCACACACCAGGCCTTCGGTTCCCAGCAACCAGCCTGGTGTGGGAGCAGCTGGAGGGCAGGGCCAGCAAATGCTTAGAAGAAGGCAAGCCTCTCCCCAACTTTCACTTCTGCTTTCCGAAACCTCCTCTGGAAATCCTTCCCACCTAAGGCCCCAGCGGATTCAGATGGAAGTTTCTACCTGTGGGCTCTGGTGACGTCTGGATTCGCACAGAAAGCATGTGGGGTGTGGGGTGAGTTATTTTTCAAATTGATCAGACCAGATGCTCCCAACAGATGCCACACCCTCTGCACCCAGCAGCATGTACGCCCCGGCAGCCAGGCCCAGCCTGTCTGCTCAAAGTTGCTGGTTTCCCCCAACCCCCCGCCCCACCCTGATACACACAAAGGGCCCGGTCTGGGTCTCCTTTATTCACAACGGACTGTGACAGACCCCAGTTCAAACCCTAGCTCAGCCCCTTTAACTTTTCTGTGCCTCAGTTTCCTCACCTGCAAAGTGGGGGTAGCCACCTCTCAGGGCAGTTGTGAGAATTAAACTGAAGAGGGCATGGACATTTCAGGAGAGGATGCCTGTCACAGGATGTCCTCAGCAGAGGTCACTGCGAGTGTTAGCTTTGAGTCACCCAGGGCTGCTCACCCTCCCTGAACTCTGCCTACACCCTTGTCTCCCCCACACACACACCCCCTTACCCTCCCCTCCCCCTTCCCC